GCCTCAGGTGGAGGATGGTGAGAAGCAACCATCCAAAGTCCACAGGTCCATCTATCCTGTCTGACAGAGATGCCCCGGAGAGGAAATTAATTAATGCAGGGAATATATGAGCCACTGGCCACAGTGGACAGAGTACCCGGGGTGGGAATGACCTTGTGATGAGGGGACTTGAGCACTGGGCGCGTCGCAGTCCTCGTGGTGGAGCTCTCCAGGTTCAGCGCGGAGGGAAGGTGCCAGGTTTGTCCGCGCAGAGGGACGGTCCCAGCCTCGCGTGCGGGGAAGGTCGCTCCTCCCGGGCTTTGATGTGTTAATTCCCTGGAGGAGCCGCTTTGCGGAGCGCCTCTTCGCAGCTTCGCTTCCCACATCTCCCGGCGCGGCGCCGCGCTCTCCTCCGGCTCCAGCTGGGCGAGGAGATCTGCCTCCGCGCAACCTCCGCACCGAGGAGCCCTGGCGGCACCAGGGCCGCCGCGCTGAGGCCGGCGCGGCGCTGCTCGCCTCCCTCAGCACGCCAAGGAGCTGGTGAGCGACATGGAGTACAGCTGGGACATCCACGGCCACTGCGTCTGGCTAAATAAGGTAGGAGTTATCCGCGCTCCTGCCGCCTCGCGCAGCTCTCTGTGGTGACAAGCCGGGAACAAAACATTCCGCCTTTCCCTTGTAGCGGATACCGGCCGAGCTGCTCGGGAAGGAACTGCCTGTTTCGGGGTGGTTTCACCCTCCCTGCTCGGCAGCCGTGTTGCTTATGTGTAGAAAATGTTTCAGGTAAATTCCTCGGGGCGAAGGTCTGCTTTGAGCTGGCTCTTTCAGGGAGTCCACCTGTATTTCAGGGAGCGGTGGTACCTGTTAGAGAAGCCAGCGCCCTGTTCAAGCAGAACGGAAGATGAAGGATGCTGAGGGTACCAGCCACAGTAGGCTCCATAGGAGATTTATTTTAATTTTGTTTTTATTTTTCAGTGTTTGAGGGGAAACTTTTTGGGGGAGGGCGGTTAAAAACAGCAGCTCTGAGAAACTTCTCCGTGCTTTAGAAAGCTAAGGGAGTCCTAGAGGAAAGGGATTAAAAGGCAAAAGGCCAGCAAGCTGCAAAAGTTTGGCGATGCATCTGCTTGTAACAGGAATAATTCCCCCTGGAGCAGCATGGACTTTTACTTACAGGGCTGCAGGCATGGTTTACACTCATATTTAACAGATTAGTAATGGATTGATCTTGCAGAGTTTTAAGCGAGCTGGATCTGATCTTATAAGGTCTTTTAAGTGAATGCTTGACTCGAAACTTCTGTGAAGCTCCAGTGGCATCGTGACAACAGCTCTTTTGTTTAGAGGATTAAGATCAGTGTTGGTAACTCTGCCTTAGCTCTCCTCATCCTGTGTTTGGCAGCTAATCTCTAAATTACAAACACATGTGAAGTCTAACAGCCTAATTCGAGATAAATTTTAAGTTATTGATGAAAAAGAACCTTCTTTGGAAGATGGCAAAGCTTCCGTTTTGCAGCTAGTAAACTATGTTAATCCTGTGTAATGAACTTATATGATACAAATTTAGTCCAGACCTAACAAGCACCCCAAATACTCTTACAGTTGCTGATGAATCATATATTTATTTTTCACTTTCTTTTTTTAAAGAGGCTTTTAGTGTGCACAGAGCCTGGCAACTATTGCTCAGGCCTATGCGCCTGCAAGGAAAGAGAAACCCTCTCAGCCTTTCTCTGTCTTTCAAAACTCCCTGCAGCCCCTTCCTCCACTGCGTCTTGCTCCCAACGCCCCATTGCCCAATGCAGACATGCCTTTCCCTTCTTCTTGGGAGGAAAAATGTGAAAAATGTTCCTGGCATCAACTTCTTTTTGTCTGGGGAGAGGACAGAGCAGAGGAGACCTACTGGAAGATGCTGCCTGGCTGTTACCCACCCGGCCCTGTTTCTTGCAGCTCTTTGAGACAGATGCTGTGGCCACTGTAATCAAAGTCAATGACTTTCTGCCGTTTTGTACCTAAAATGTGCTCTGGCACTGCAGAGTCAATCCCAGTTACTGTGCAAAAGATAGGATATTCCAGTCAGAAAACAAAACTCCTGTTGAGGTGTACACCAGATTTTGCCGATTTTGATAAATTACAGGTCTGTTTTTATGCAGATTTTATAAAATGTTCCTGTCTGCTAGTAGTAAAGCTAAATAAATTCGGATATTATTTAGTTTTGTGGGAGAATAATCTTTACTGCAGTTCTGCTTACGATTCTTACCATCCCCTCTCTATTTCTCATGGTAATATGCAGATACAGGCGGAACACTTTGCTCCCTAAACACTTCTATTTTAAAACACAGTATGAGTTGCTGGGCAAAATAGGATTTTTTTTTCTTTTTTTGAGGAATGTGAACCGAGTTTAACAACGAAGGTGTTTTAGAACGATGTTTGCCCAGTGACTAACATGCCACTTTAACACCTCATCAATTTTCACAGCATTGGGAAGACATTTGCATTGTAGTGTAAAATACTTACAGCCTTGATTTTCCGTTCATGCGGACTTTGGCTTTGTGTCTGGCTACACTGACTAGAGATAGGGAGAGGTTCAGTGGGCAGGACATGGATGTGCTGTTTGGGAGGCTGGGAATAAAGCTGGTGCTTTGGTAAGGACTTCCGTGTGAGCGCCCGCAGGAGAAGAGTGCTATAAATTACAAACTGCAGACGCTGTAATAATGGGGAGCAAGTAAGTGCATAAGGTAAATAGGATTGTAAATGAGGAAGGAGCTGCAGAGTGACGAGGAGTATGCAAAAACCTGCTGTTTGCACTCTCCGTGCAAGCCAAGTGGCATAATTTAAAGGATGATCTGTTAGCTTAGCAGCTAGTGAGCTTATCTCAGAAACTCCAGGACTTGTTTCACCTGTTACAAAAGTGAACATCTCATTGACCTTGAATGGAAATCCTATGGCATAAGCCTAAATTCTGGAAGGGGCTGGGCAAAACAGTGGAAACTCAGATTAGAGTACTTCTACTTTGGCCTTGAGATGCTAGGTGGTCAGGCGGCCTGGTTTCTTGCTACTAGTTAGTTTGAATACAAGATACCTGTCAAAATTCACAATTCAGGGTATAAGTATGATACAAACAACTAAAGTGCCTGCTTTCCTAGCCCTGCTGTAGCTCTGGTGAGGTGAGGAGGAATGATGTAAAAGTTATGTATGTAGATGCTCGGGAGATATTTCTGCTTCTGCACCAGAATACAGCCCTGGCTCTTGAGCAGATTCTCGAGGAGAGCACTAAGGTGAGGCCGGACGCCTTGTACCCTCTCCTCTTTGCTTTGCAGATAATCTTTAACCGACACTTGGTGATTTGTGGTTGTCACCCCCCCGCCCCGAAATCCGGTCAAAGACTTTTCTCACACCACCCAAGTAAGGAAGGTACGAGGGTTCTGGCTCGTCTGAAGCAGCCTCCGTAATGAGGGGAGACAAGCTGCTTGCAAAGGAGATTTAATGCAGAACCCTGAGGTTTCCAGCTCATGGGTGAGGGTGGCCTCTCACGGCTAGCTGGCTCCGCTGAGGCATGCGGGCGTGAAAACCAGTGGCCCAATTTCTTGCCCTTAAATATTCAGAGGGGAAATCAAGGCCTCCTGAGGCCAGGAGGAGACTCCATGCTCAGTGCACTGGATTTTAGTCCGGCTTCTCAAAAAGTTGCTGATGCCTCTGGACACTGGGATAGTTTTAACATGTATTTCTGTTTCCCTTTAGCCTAAAGCGGCTTTAGAAAGAGATGTGTTCAGAGAGCAGACCTGCATGCATACGCAGGAAATGTGCCTCGTGCAAAAGGGTGTCTCCTGCTGTGTGCTTATAAAAATACGTTTTACTTGCGAGAAGCATAATGCACATTATATAGATTGTAAAATGTTTTTGTGTTCCAGTTCCTGAGTGTCTCGGGATATTTGTCTCTTTGCAAGCATGTCTTAGCAGCGTAGGCTAGCGGGGAGCACAAATTTTGTTAACAAAATGCTGAATGCACAGTAAGAGAATCTGCAGAATTGGGTCACCAGAAGGTTACTCTCATCTTTAAGCCCCTGAACAATTCTTGTCCTGAACTGTGCTCCTGTCTCCTTCATCAACGGTTTGTTTTGTTTGTAACTCTTTGGGGGACTAAAAAATGTTATAAAGCTGCTCTGTAAGTGTGTTCATAACATTGACTGACATGTGAAAGTTCTCCTTCATGGCAGCATTATAAGTTGAAAATCAGATCTGTGTTCTCTTAGGTTTTTTTTACATGTAGTGATAGGTTTTCAGAGTGTTTTTGCCAATTATGTTCTGTCTAAAAAAATTAGCTACTTTCTGTCTATTAGTTTACTGAAGCAGACTGCCATTCTAAGTAAATACATGATAGTGTCATTATAAGAAGTTAGACTGGGAAGATTAGCAGCAGCACTTCTAAGACATTTTTATATTGCTCAGTGCTTTTCCGCCTGTGGTTTTGCAGATTTTTGACAGTCCCCAGACTATGGAAAGCAAGCCTGTTGTCAGAAGGCTTTAATTCTACATACAGTAATGTTCCACTTGCAAATGTTAGGCGTATATGAATCACAATAAAGAAATAATAAAATGTTATTAATTATAAAAGCAATATATGTGTTATTATATGTCTTACATAGTACTTAATAATAATATAGAGTTATTATTAATATGGTAATATTATTATTCTCATCTGTGTTCATGTTAAGGTAAGTATTTGTGCCATAGCTGTTTACCTGTAGCTGCTACTTGAAGAGGGTGAACTTTACAGCTCAGGAAGTTTTGAGTCTCAGATCCTTAGGGCTGTGTTAGTCAGCACAGCCCTTTTGATTTACATCAACCCTGCCATAGGGATATGTCTGGCTCATAATGCTGTATTTACAATGCTTATTGCAATGGTTAAATTATTATTGTAATGATTTGTGTTACCACATGTAACTATTTTTTTGACTAAAGCTTTTTGACTGGAGGATGATGCTTATCATATGGTAACTGACAAACATAATGCTTAATATCTCTTTCAGACTAATGGACACATATCTGCTAATGGAGATGTGTATCAAGAAAGGCTGGCACGTTTGGAAAATGATAAGGAATCTCTTGTTCTGCAAGTGAGTCCTCACCTAAATTATTTTCTTCTATTCTTTCATTAATAAGACTTTCTGTGTTGTATGATGAAACCTCTGAGGATTTATTTGCAGCTGTGCTGTCGCACAAAGTGATTGGAAGTGTTGCAGATACCTGGGGGTTAACCCAGATTACAGATGGGTGTGAATTTCAGGTTGGAGTAGGAGTTGGGTTGTCCCAGCTCCTCTGTGCGTGTGTCTGATCTTTCTGCATCTTGGTCACCGAGCTGGTCTGCAATGTCATTGTCTTGCTTTCCTATATATCCTTAAGACCATTTTCTTCCTTGACTGTTCATGTGCTGTCCACATGAGGTGACAGATGTCTTGTCCTTGTGCCCACCAGAGTCTCCCCACGGCCACTCTGCCACCAGGCTCTGGAGGGGGGCAAGGGCGACGAAAGCTGTGGGACCAGCTTGTTTACCCTTGCTCCCAGCATGGTGCTCGCTCCCTCCCTATTTAAAACAAACAAGATTTTATTCAGGAAGGGCTGATGGGAATCAGCGTGCAGTCTCAGAGGTGTTGTCGTGGTCGTTCTTGCCTGGCCTCGGCTGGTGTGCATTAACTTCCTTTGCTTTTATGCTTTGGGAAAGGAGAAGCTGCACAGAGCGATACACTGTATGTAATCACTCAGAAAGAATAACTGACACTTGCTGAGGTTTCCCTATTCTGTTTTAAGGTAGAAACTAGTAGTCTTTAGTCAATGTACTGTCACAGCCAGTGGCATCTTTAATTTTAATGTGTTAGAAAATACTGACAGAGCGTGGTTCTGGTGAGGAGGCAGTAGAAGCTCTGCTGCTTACAGGTTGGCTGTAAAATGCAACAACAGCTTCCTTGCGAAAACTCCCAGGACAAGTCAGGAGAGATGCAAAATTGCAATGCATCTGCCAGAAGTTCAGCTGAAATGCCAGGAAGCTTTTGGGGAAAGTTCTCCCTCTTCTATTGGCTTTGCCATGCACTGTGTCCACTACAGCAGTCTGCTGTGCACCATCCTTATGGCGTTGTATTTTGCCTGGGGTCAAACCAGCGCTATTGTTAATATATATGGTCATTAAGGTGACAGTCTGTATAGGTTCAAGGTGCTTAATGTGCAACCCTTCGTCTCCCACTCTGCAGGTGAGTGTGCTTACAGACCAGGTAGAGGCCCAAGGAGAGAAGATTCGGGATTTGGAGTTCTGTCTAGAGGAGCACAGGGAGAAGCTGAATGCCACGGAGGAGATGCTGCAGCAGGTAGTGCCAAGAAGCATTTCTGTCTTTTGGTCTGTCTTCCTGAATTGCATTTTGTCTCAGTGAGAGCAGTTCGCTTCTGTTCAAGACGTTTTATCCCTTGATGTCACTTAAATAAGTGATAATTCTCTTGCCTCTGTTGCTACTACATTTGTTTTAAGGTCTTTGTACTTAGAGGTGTCAGCGTTGCTTTGCACTACAGGGATCCAGCCCTGCTCTCCCTTTGAGCCTTTCGCCACTGAACTTCAGAGAGGTTTGGATTAAAGCCTCTGGCAGGATGGGTGGATTCTCCTCAGAGCTCCTGGCTGCCCAGAGCAACTGTGGTGACAGACAGGTTTTCTTCTGGTCTTGGCAGCCCACCAACAATAGTGCCTCCATGATTTCAAATGCATCCTGGATGCCCTGAGTCTGTCAGATGGACTAAAAGTACTGTGTCCCCAGGCTCTATATCATGGAAGGATGAATTAGATGGTTTGCTCCATCGAAGAGGCCTCTCACTGTAGAAATGTATTATCTATTTCTGTGGATGTATCCTAGTGCAAAGCATACAATTCTTTTTCCCTTGGATGAATAATTCTGTTCTTTTCCTCTGTATCTCAAATCAGGAGCTTTTGAGCAGAACGTCCCTCGAAACTCAGAAACTGGATCTTATGGCAGAGATTTCCAATCTGAAGTTGAAGCTTACATCTGTAGAGAAGGACAGATTGGACTATGAGGATAGATTCAGGGACACAGAGGTGAGTAAAAGAAAAACAGCTGAATCTGTTGTGAGAGTTTGGCAGGGCTTCATGTTATCTGAAAATTACCTGGCATTTATTTTTTTCAGGCAAGGGGAGGAATTCATCTTTAAGACATTTATATTTTAAAGTAAAAACAGCTCCCTTTTTCCCTTGGTAAATATTAGTTTTACAAAGAAAAAGATTTCATTTCCAGTGAAGTGTCATTCCTGCACTTGTATTGCAAGTGTAAATGGAAAAAGTTAGGTTTGCTTCTTACTGGGGACTGTTTAAGTAATCCACAGACCCAAGGAGGTCCACTGGTTGAAAACTAGTGACTTGAATCATGTTCTTTGCAAGGTGATGATCATTTACACAGTGATGGCAGCGCCTCTTTTAGAAAACATCTGGCTACCATGAAACCATAGGTAGCATTTAGTTTGAGTTCCTTTATCTTTTCCTCTAGTTTCTGCAAGTTTTTATATAAAAAAATAACAAAATTACCCTAAAAGTATCTGACTTCTTTGCATTCTAGGCAAGTGCTGTGCATAGCAGTGCTGAAGAAATTGGCAGAGGAAAAGATAGAGGGAATTCCTGAATTTTTTTTTGTTTCTGAGGAAGTCAGTTAAAAATTGGCTGTCGTCTGAACTCCCATGAGGTCTAATTGCCCACATATAAAACTTAATTTTTCATAAGTTCTAATGTAGAGCAGATAAATCTCTGCAACTCTATACTGACACCCATCATAAGTGGTCTGAATGATAGACACATGAATTGAAGCCAGCAATAAATGACTTCGGAGGGATGCAAGATTTGGTCCAAATGACTGCAGTGAACTGGTGCTTTTAGTAATTAAACTATTACATAGTTGTTATATGCCAGAACTAATGAACTATTACTAAAATTGTTCCTTCCTCTCTTTAAAAGCTAAAATGGTGCAGTTTAGTGCCATAGAAGTGGCTATGTTGCTGCTTCTGTGTTTAAATGCTTTAGAGTTGCAGAAGTCTGCATTTCCATTTTGTCCTGTGGAAAATGCATGGCGAATCAGCTGCAAGGCTCTCAGCCGTGTAGTACTACGTATGAAACCTCTGACCAGCACTCTGCAGGTAGCACTTGGTCAGGGGCTACCTACAGAATTATGGTTGAGGTTTAGTCCTTCCTACCACCCAGTTTTGCTCAGCTGGGTAAGCTCCTCCTGTTCCCCGCTCTTTCTCTGAATGGAGGCCTCAGTGGTAAGCTTGGTAAGCAATTTTTCTTCTGTGCTTCAGGACTTTCCTGTCTAGATGTTCACAAATACGCAGCTTTTCCAGAGCTAATTGCAGAATTAATTGGGATTTCCAGCTGATCTGTTCTTCAGATCCTTCCAGTCTTGCTGCTTTCCCAGCAGACAACGCTTAAGGACTGCGGGTGGTCTGAGTCGGGCTGAGTTTATGTAAGAAAATGCTGTACTAGGGAGTTTATTTAGGGAGGAGTCCATAACCAGACGTGGTCTTTGAAACAGCAGCCAGAGGTTAAACTGGCTTGCTCAGGGGGAATTCTTTGTAATTTAAACACCACCGGGCTCCTTTACGCAGATGAATTTCTGAGCGGAGCTAAACCATGAATGTTATTTGTGCTTCCAGTGCCAGGAAGGATTCCCTCCTCCCCTGCCTAAAGTTATCATTGCAATAATGAGTGTTATAAATGTATAAATATGTAAACAGCAAAAGGCTTTGGGCCAGTGGAAAGAGGAGCTGTTGAGTGCTTTTAAGGAGAGACCTGAGTCAGGCTCAGAAGAGTTCAATTTAATGGTCCTTTCTTGTTTTGCAGGTTTTTAGCACAGGGCATAAGCCCAAGGTAGGTATTTTAACCCTTTCACGGATGTCTGAAGAGGAAATATTAAATGCAGGCAGAGCAGATGTCATGCGGTGGCTCTCCATGGGGGTTCACCAAGTCAGCTAGTGCAGCCGGTGGGTTTTTGGTTTGATCAGAAATCCTGATGAATCTCCTGGGGTCCTGAGTACCACAGGGACATAAGTGCCTCAAGCATGACTTGGTCTCCCAAAGTCTTCATTTATGCTATCTCTTTTTTACTAATGAGGATCTCTGTATGAAACCTGATGAATGTATTCCCCTCCCTTGAAAAACTGAGAATGTCATTTACAGTAGTTGTATTATACATGACTGGAGACACCAGGTAGTATTGCACTAGCAGAAGAGTAATTGAAAATATTTTTAGGTTGAGCACCAACCAGGTAAATGTTCAGGCCAAAACTAACCATTGGCCCGAGGAACGCAGATTTGTTAGAGATCTTGAACAATTGTTGCTGGAAAGGAACAGCTCAATTACTAGAATGAGGCAGTCTGTCATCTGTACGTTTAGAGTGAGGAGCTTTGTCAAGATCAAACATTGAAGAATCAGTAAAGAATTACAGGCATATCCAAAACAAAAACAAAAAAGTTGCACATTAGCAGTAGTAATTATTAATAGCCTTAAAATGTACCTTTTCATTAAATCTTTCTGGTAACTGAGCTTGGATGAAGTAGATGTGGGTAACTTCTTTTTTCAGCCACTCCAACGCACACTTACTACCTTAATCAATTTAAAAGCAACAACTGCAATTTCCTACTTCTTTCATTTGGGTCAGAATACTACACTGCAACCTTTGGAGAGCTGTTTGTGACTCAGTATGGAAATTCACGTTGTAAAATGATCTGCAACTTTCATAAATGCCTGGTTACTACCATCACAGAAATTCCTAGGTCTGCCTGCATTATCTCTATATGCACAGAAACCACAGTATACTTATTTTATTTGCTTGTGGTGGGTGTGCTGAAGGGGCGTGCTATCGCAGAGACATGCTCATATGTCGTCCCGCAGAAGAGAAGTGAGGGTTTGCAGGCTGCTCGTCTCAGCTCCAAAGCAGTAAGTTACAGGGACAGCAGGACAGAGACTCGCTGAGGCTGCAAGCAACTTGATTTTCCAAGTCCCTGTTGTTGTTGCATCGCCAGTTAGGGGGACTCAGTCCAGCCCTTCCCTATAGAGACCCTCCTCTAGCAGCGACGTAGTTGTGAAGCCACAAAACTTCTGGGTATCAGAGGCTTGGTTCCTACTAACAGGAGGGTGGCTTTGGTCAGGTGGAGTAGGGCAAAGATGACTCTATCTCCTGAGGCTAAAGCCAATCATGGACCTCATTTAATTGCTGGTATCAGCAATAATCTGTCCTTAGATTACAACCAGTTCTGTTATGCAATAATAAAAGGTAGCAGGCAAAAGGTAGTTGATGCAACCTTCATGTACATCCTTGTCCACCCAACGCTCTTGCTCACATCTCTCTCCTTGATATGAGTTGCACTGTTCTATACTGTAAAGATCATGCTATGAAGAGCATGAAGGAGCTTGTTTTTCCCCCAGTGTCTGAGCATTTTCAATCTATTGCTAAAGAAATACAAATAATGCTCAGATTTATCAATCTTATGCAGCAGTAATCAAGAGTTTGCCAAGGTGTGGGAAAACATGGAATGGGACAGGAAGGCAGGTGTTTCCAGGGACCCACAAGTACCACTGTTTTCCAGGCTGCTCTAAGAGTCTTTGAGTTGCTTCCAAGCAGAGGGAATTCCCAAAGCCTGGCTGCAGGAGCGGCCACTGGGGCATTTGATGCTTGAGAGCGTGTGCTGGTGCTTGTCAATGCTTGACTTCATGCTGAATTTCAGTGTTCGTGTGTGCTGAGCCCCTCTTCCTACTGTGATTTTACTCTCCTGCTGAGGCTTGCCTGGCCAGCCCTCATTCCACCTTGTTTATTGAATTTCTGTCTTTCTGGTCTTGTTCTTCCCTTCGCCCAGGATTTGATCCAGGAAATAAATGAGCTGCGATTAAGGGTGGGAGAAATGGACAATGAAAGGCTCCAATACGAGAAAAAACTCAAAACTACCAAAGTAAGTGAGGCCAAGGGGAAGCAGCAGAGCTGGCCGCGAGTTGTGGGTTTGCAAATTTGGTTCTCCTTTCCCATGTCCCTGCAAAGCCCTGAGCAACCTCAGGCACTCACTTAACCACAACAACAAAACCCAGAAAGGGGGGTATTTCCAAATTTCATGTTGTGGTTTTCAGATCTAGACCCTGTTTTTTTAATGAGGAACCAACATCCTAGGTGGTGGCCATTAACAGTAAATATATTACCTGTTTAGATCCCCGGTTCACCTACGTTTCAGTGAACGGCGGTTGCAGTGCGTAAGTGTGTGCCATAGGGGAGACTAAAGCTGAGCATTTATTTTCTCCTAAATGTGCTGAAAATCAGCCACTCTATTCTGGAGAAATAGCATTCGCCTAAGAAATTGTAGCGTTCTGTTTCTGTAAGTGTTTAACTTCTCTTTGCCTTTTAGCCTGTCTCTTTTCTATCTTTAGTTTCCTCTCACTCCTCTGTCTCTGTTACCAGTCTTTAATGGCCAAACTTTCTAGCATGAAAATCAAAGTGGGTCAGATGCAGTATGAAAAGCAGCGGATGGAGCAAAAATGCCAGATGCTAAAGGTGTAGTAGTTTAATTTGGCCTGTTTTGAATCCTTCATGTTCGTTTTCTGGTCTGTCTTGCATCTCGCTGCCATTCTGTGCTCTGCATCAAGTGCTGTGCGGTGGTGGTATGTGGTGCTCCCTCTCTCACTAGACATAGAAAACTCTTCATCTTACTCCTAAATAGCTTTAGTATGGGATGGAAGAGCATTTTAATGTTGTGAACTTCGCATTGGTTACTCATAACTGAATTAGACTTTAGGGTAAAGATGTTTCCCCTTCCACTGCCTCTTCTCTAGCTTACATCCATTTTTTTCAAAACTAAATTTTTCTAACCATCTTGGAGATTTTTTTTTCATGAAAGCTAACTAGGAAACAGTGATTCCTTTACAGACTCCTCTCCCCCAAATATAAATTTACATAATGTGATTTTAACTCAGAATATACACATTGACAACCTTGTGCAACTGCAGTTGTCCCTGACTGTACTGGCAGCTTTTCAAGGGGCCGAGAGGGGGTCTCATTGTGGGAAGGTCCAGGTCATGGCCTGCCAGAAATCCCAGCAAAGCTATTACCAGTTTGGAGGGTGGTGCTATAATGCCTGCTCCAGAGAAGCTTTGATATCTTGAGAATTTCAGGATTGCAGCTTTATTTATTTATATATTTACAGTTGCCTTAGTGCAAAGATGAACTGATTTCAGGAAGTGCTGTAGTTGCTAAAAAAGCTAAATTCATGAATTGATGCCAGTATCTTGCTAGTGCAGATGGTTAGAGCTAAGTCAAATTTTGACAGCATTTATCTGATACCCCCTATTTCCCCCGTATGCCTTCTGTGGTCCTCCCACAAATCTCAGCACTGAGTTTCCTTCCCCAGTGCGTGAGCAGCAAGCCCAATTGTCACCCAAGACCATTAAGCCCATAAAGATGCTCAGGTGAAAATCTGGCAGCACTGTGACACCTCTCCACTGCATGTGGGGACTGTCTGTAATCTATTCTGTGTGTGTTACAGGATGAACTGGCAGCTTTGAAAGAGAAACTGGAGCAGAAGGAAGCCGAGGTAAAAAGGTTGCAAGAGAAGTTGGTTTGCAAAATGAAAGGAGAAGGGATTGAGATCCTGGACAGAGGTAAGGAGAAGGGAGGCTCTCTGTTAGCTCTGTGCAGGGGCATCACGTAGTTTCTGTGATGTTTCTGTGAATTGTTACACAGGAAATTTAAAACCTCGATTTCCAGATACTTTCTGTCTTCATGTCAGCCACTAAAATGTTCTGGGAGTATTCGGAATGCAACTGCTGAACTCAACTTTAGAGTTCAACTTGAAGCTTGCTGGTAATCCCTAGTTAGCCCTTCACATGTTTTGCACACCTCAAAAGATGCAGTTTATACTGATTTAAACCAGTTCCTCCCAAAAGGTTATACTGAGAGAGGCACTTCCTGTGTAGATCTCGGTTCTGGGCTTTGCTTTTACACTCTTCCCTGCTAAGGAAGGGGAAAAAACATATTGCATACCAAAGTGTGATTGGTACTAGCAAGTCTTCAGCGTTGCCTGCACAATGTGTGAAATTGAGGATTGGGTCTCATTTGCGCATGAGAGGAGTCTGAATCCTAATTAGCACAGAAATATTATGTCAGATCCTTTTTTTTTTAATTTGCTTTCAAAGAAGAAACAAAAGTGGAAACTTAGATTTGGCTTTAAAAAAAAAAAAAAGAAAAAAAGTTTTAAGATGCCCCAGAATTTTTCAGACTTTTTCTGACCTGAAAATTCATTCTGTACCTGCCTTACTGGGAGTTATCGCTGATTGTAGGTTGTTTGTTTTTTTGAAATGTTATGCTCCAAGAGGTTGACTAGTCTGTTTGCCAGACCAGGGGCAGAAACCACAGGATGTAGCCTGTCAGATTTTATTTAATAAAAATACCTATTTAAACAGTGGTGTGTAAGACCTCTAGAAGTGACTGCAATGAACTGTGATTCCTTTTTTTATTATTTTTTAGAGTGTGTAAATGTGAGCAAGGTCTGATTTGCTCCTTATGCTGGGCTTTCCTTCGTGAGGGCTCCCAAGGAAGCTGAGCTCCTCCTGCCTTTTGGTACTCAGCTTTAGCTTAGTTTTCCGTTTAGCTCCAGAGGGTCCTGTCCTTGTTGATGGGAATCTTCTACCATGATGAGCCATGATTTTGCTGCTTTGGAGTGATACTAGGTCATGCTATTTGCATTACTTAATTAACAGATTCTCTCCCCCATTAGATGAATTGTGATTCCTGAACAAATATTTATACATTATAAACTAGCTGTTTTTTTGCTTAGTATTGGCTTAGGAGTAGTTTATTGGCAGAAAGCATTTTTGAGGTCTTACAAGTGAAAACATATAGGTAAAGAATACCTTTGAAACACGTAATTGTGTAGGAGAACAGCGAGATTGTTTGTTTCCTTAGGAACATGAGCAAAGGCAGAGCGTGAGGTAAAACTTCTGCAGTGATGCGTGGGAAATCGTTTGCTCCTGAAGTAGCAGTGTTATGTTAAACGTTATTTCATGCCATAACCTTTGTGCTAATTTCCAATCCAATGGGTTTTCCTGCACAGATGAAAATTGTAAAAAGAAGCTCAAAGATAAAAGTAAGGTTTCTGGTGTCTTTCCACAAGCATTTGTATTTCAGTATAGCTCTCTGCATGTGTTCGTAAAACTGCTTTAACAAACACCTGTTAGGCTGCATCATCTATAACCCTTAATTACGCTCACAGTAAAATTTGGAAGTAAGGGTGAATATGTCAGACTCAAAATAATACAAAGTTTTCTGGAAAAAAAATGCTACTAGGCAAAGATAGAGCTGATCTCATGAGAGAGATTCTTTTCAAGCCGAGTACATGGATTTTTCTCCTTAAGATGCACATGCAAATAAAACTGTTGCCTTTCAGTGAAATGCAGTGACAATCCAGTAAGCCAGATTTTCCATTAGCATAACTCAGTCAAAGGCATTGGAGCTCTATCGGTTGGGATTTGGGCCAAGTGTGTCTAAATGTGATTTATCTAGAAAGTCAGCCAGACAGCTTGTTTTGTTCCTGCATTTCATTAAGGAGGAAAATGTTCTCTGCACTGTGGGTTTTTCGGGGGAGGAATTTCAGGAGATTAAAACAAAGTAAAAGGCTTGCTTGCCTATGGGTATGGCCACCTCCCTGTGTTTGTAATGGAATTTAAAGCTTGCTTAATTTATGCAAGGTACATTATTGCAAAAAAAAACGAAGGTAATTTCCCTTCCCTTTAGTCCAAAGCACCTTCACAACTGAAGCCTCTTAGATAGTGAGCCCATAAGTCTCCCGAGGATTTTACTGAACGTAAGGAGGGGTTATAGGTGAAGCACAGAGTTCTGTATCAGGGACCTTCTTCCAACCCAAATTACAGCATATATTCTGGCATGACTGCTCATCCCGCCGAGTGCCTGTCCCATTCCACGCTGTCCTCATGCCTCCATCCGCTCCGAGTTACGACTAAAGCACCGCCACCGCACGCGCTCCTCCATCACATCCACTAATCCCCTCAACCCATCTGTAGGGTGCGTGTTCGAGATGCTCTGTGGGGTGCCTGGTGGCCACTGCACTGGAAAAAATGTTTTGTCACGCTCCAGTTATAGTATTTTGGGTTTTGGAGCTCTGGTTTTATAACTATTTGGTTCAATAATGCAGGTCAAGTAGTAGTTCTACTCTTTTCAGTTTTCCTATGGTTTGGGGAGGGCTATTTCCTAGCGTGGTCCCTTCCTTGATAAAAATCAGTGAAAAGAAGGTTTGCAGAAAAAGGGATTTTCTTCTTTGAATTTCAGTCTAAAATAGAAATTAAGTGACTTGTGGTTTGTCCTTTAGTTTGTAAATTTGCTATCAGCTTTCTTTTGTTTTTTGTTTTTCCTTATATGGTCTCATTTAAATTGACCGCATTGTGTGTTTTTAGATATAGAGGTACAGAAAATGAAGAAGGCGGTTGAATCTCTAATGGCAGCAAATGAAGAAAAGGTAGCAAAATCTCTCTCTTCTTTTTCAGTATTCATTCCTCAGATTGAGTTTAATATCTTAGAATGGCTGCAAACACGGCCAATGCCTTTATAAGGGTGAAATTGGATATTTGTGAGCTCTGCCTTGTGTACGCAGAGTCCTTACACAACAATGTCATTCAGTGGGACTGCAGCATCCTCTGCAAATGTGAAGAGCTCCACACAGGTCCCGTGAGATACCACAGGCCACGTTTCCAGCAGGGATTTCTGGAAAGTAGGCCTTGTTTTCGCATGTGGTTTTGTGCATTCATATGCATGTGCATTTTACAGGGTTTTTTCTTTTGATCACCAAGGTCCCTAGTCCTTTGATTACCTCTTTCTTTGTACGTGGCAATATTCATAATGCTCCAGCTTTGATTTCAACAGTTGAAATCTACTTTCAAGTCTGGGACGATTCTGGTGATTAAACAGTTTTTGCTAAATGTAAGTCCTGGGTATTTCAAAGCTTCTCGAAGTTCTGGGTCTTGCCCTATCGCCATTCCCATTTCTAGTTCAATAGCCAGCTGAACAGGAACATGTCTGCTGTTTGTACTTCTTATATTGGGTTTACCATAGGAAAAGCACAGTCACAGTTTCCATTTTTT